CAGATGCTGTCGAAAGTTGTAATGATTCAGACATCGTGTTGTCATTCTGGGGCGAACAGTGCGTGGACGGTCTTTTTTACTGTTTGTTGTATTGTAGCGTTCACGTAGACATTGGATAGTGCGAACATTGCAGTTAAATGCATATGCAACAACTTGAGGCCGCTGTCCAGCATTCAAACGTCCTATTGCTTGTTCACGTTGTCTTGGGTTCAGTCATGGCATCAGTACTACATTAAACAGATAATGATTACACTAAAACTTTACACGTCTTAAATACCCCTACTAAGGCACGAATTCAACGTGCGTATCTTGAAATTTTCATGTGGAACGTGTCCCACGGACCAAGCAAAAACAACATTAGGACAACAGAACTAATGAGTGCAGTAAGCCGTAACGGAGATTTAAACATAATCGTAGCATCGTTTAGGTGTAATTTACCTTAACCAAAGTAAATCAATTAATTGTTTTCGATGTTTTTGAAAATTATAGTTTTCGAAATATGCGACGTTTCTATTGCGGTTCAGTGTATTATGCTATTCTGTTAAACATTTACTCATTCATCACTTCCAAATGAAAGTAAAGGCTAAAAATGCACTTGTCCATGAGAACGGTTCAAAGATACAAGTAAGCTTCCCATAATAATCCTTTACTTAGTGACCATTTGGTGAGTGAAGGTAAAATAATTCAATTTGAAATTTGAACTCCTTTCATATGGGGTCAGTCGATGTGCCCAGTCTTGTAATCACAAAGTAGCCATTAGAGTTTCTATATTATAGCTTTTAATGTTTTGTGTATTTTCACAAACTTTGGCAAGCTTTCTGTAGACAATACAAGTCTTTTGTACACAACAGATCAGATTGTTTTAAGGAAGTATTTTTAATAAAAATTTGTCTGTGAATATATGGAGTAAGAGTGTTTACAACTTTTCTTCATCTGAAAATTTTCAAATTTTATTTGTGTGACCTCTAAAAACCTCTGAAATAAATATCAAACGTTTTTCTCAATAAAAATTTCTATTTTAGCTGTTATTTTCTCTACCATAACTGTGTATGGACTTGGTCAATTTGAATGACCTTTAACTGTCATAACAAAATATGAAATACAACTAAATTACCTTTTATTTCTTTCTGGAATGACTGCAGATTTTAACAGAAAACTTCAGTTGTTTATCATAAATCACTAAAGGCTTGTAACAGTCTATATCTGTTTATACCAATTGTATTTTTTATCACTCTTTGAACTGTGTCTAACAAAATCCCACCACACAAATTGAAAATCACTTGGTGAATACATAGCTCACATTACCAATATTGAATGATGTAATTCAGAAGTTAATAGCAAGCAAAACTTGAAAAGAAGTTTTATTATTACTGTTTTTCATTATCTTATCTAATCTAACCTAATAAGGTTCTAATTTTTATATCTAATTTATGCTTATTACAACAAATAAAAAATATGCATGAAAAACAAGAACTTCAGTACTCACATCTGATCTTGTTTTTTTGCTGTCATTTGCCTATGAAATTTAAGCCTACTTTTTTTATAACAATGGTACTAGAACACTAAATAATTTGTTTACTTATATAATGCACCCTATGCTTACCTGTACAAATCTCAAAGAATTACAATCTGACCTAAACATACCCTAGCAATTTAAGTAATTCACTCTAGCAAAAAAGAGATGTTTTCTATGTGTGCCATATCGTTAGTAGGCTTTTCATAACCTAGAATATCATAATAGAGAATATCTCAAAACTTTCCAGAGAAAGACAACCTAAATATGCAAATTTAAATTATATATAATAAAACACAAAATGAATACTTTTGAATTAAACAGTGATAAATTGCAATACAAAAAAAAAAGTTTATTACAAGAAAAACTAGTGAAATTATTCCACATGTATAAAAAGCTGCAGTTTATGGATTAGTCAGAAAATGTTACATTATGAAACTTACTTTGTGCCTATTATGATCAACAAGACCTCCAATAATATATATTTTGGAATCTTCCAATTTTTCAACAATATTTGCAGATTCACTGGTGAGATATACTACTCGGTCTTTCCCAAAACAATCAATGTAATCTTCTTCATGAAAATACACCTAGAATAAATGAACAAGGTTATATGTCAAACCTGAACTGAGTATCTATCAAAGTACAAATTACATTATATACCTTCAATCATTAATTTTGGCTCAGTTGGTAAAGTACTCACGTGGCATGAAAACATTTTCAGGTTTGATACTGACTTAAAGAAATAAAAAATAGATTGTCACAGAAAAATGGTACCCATCTAGTAGCCATCCATCCCATGACACTAAGGTAAAGCCTGAGCAATAGGCTTTGTTTGTGACAGAGGAAAGAATGCATAGTTTGAGTTGTTTAAAAAGTGCCTTACTAGCAGTTGCTAGTGAGTTAGCCCTTTAGACCAATTAGTAGAACATTTGCATAGAATGAAAAAGGTTACAAGTTCAAATCAGCTTGTATGAAATAATTTTTTTTTCTTTTACATTATATACCTATATCTTGTGTCCAATCACCTACCTGGTAGATTATTAGGGCTAGGTAGAGTTTACAGAATCAGATGGAAGTTCCTATGTTTATATTGCATCTAAGTTGTCTCAAAAAAGACCATCAATAAAGGGGATATTGTTCTGGGGCTTTTACATCTTAGGCCTAATAACATCCCATGACTTTTTCCATTACTATAGAAAAGTATAAATTTAAACACGTACATAAATTACAATGTAATTAATACTCTATTTAATTAAGCAGATTCATACTACAAGTTTATATTCATTTTCTAAAACAATAATTTACTTTCTGAAACTTGTTCTTTTGTGTACAGTGATGGTAAATTATGTTGATTCAATGTATTGACATTAACTCATGTTTACTTACTTGTTTTTGTGCTACAATACACGAGTTACATACCATGACAGACTTAAGAGTAGGGATAATTAAATAGGCCATAAAATATTAAACCTTAAACCATCTATCACAAGACATTAACTATGAATGGTCTTAACTCATCGAGATAGGTAATAAAGAGAGAGCCAATTTCCAAAACTGAAGCTAACTTATCATTGTAAAAAAAATATATTTTAAATAACCAGAAAAATTAAACTATCTTACGAAAACCAAAGAAATTTTGTTTCAATCTAATTTTCTGTTTTAAACAATTTGGATTTTATATGTTAATAAAATATTTCAAACAATGCAACCAATAACTAAAGAATTAACTGGGAAAGCTTGCACAAACCCACATAAAATACACAATCTCTTCTAAAAATTTGTTCTTCTACAAAATATACATGAAAACATAAAAATCCAGCAAGACCTACAAGTTTCAAATATATAGTTAAAGTTTCTTTTTCAGGAGATAAAAAACAACACACAATAGTAGTAAACTAAAAATACAAAACACCTAAGAAACTTTCACACACATATAAAAGACACAGAAAAAGGAGATTGAAATAGACTACTGTGACAGTTCTTAATTTCACATTCATCTACTCAAGAGCAGAAACCTATGTGTATAGACACTGTATAATAATTTTTACTGACATGATGAAAACACTCTACTATTCAGATGTAACATTTCTAAACTGATACTGTCCTGGCAGTGTTCAAGGCTCATACTTCATTTAATATTTTAAGTGATATATTTTTGTTATATTGACAGATGTGTTAGGTTAGGGGTTCCCAAGTAGGGGGCTGCAAGAAAATATTGGCTGGGGGTAGGCATAGCAAATACACAATATTGTGAAGGTACTCAAAATATATATATCATGTGGAGGGTCTCAGTCAGGATGCAGTATGTTCTGGTTGTAGGAGGCTTGTGCTGAGAAAATATGAGAACTCTCGTGTTAGGTTACAACATGAAATAACCGAGTTCAATGAACAACTGCTTTTCTTATATGTGTTAAATTGTAAATTTAGGCAATGTTTACTTATCTTGTCATTAAGATGTTTAGTACTTGTGAGTATTTGGTTTGTTTGCTCATACTGTTTCACAAAGAGTTTGGTGGATAAAGCAAAGATTATTAGAAAATATTTTAAGCTGATAAAAGTTTGTTGAAATTTACTAATTTAGATTTTTATGATGATAATAACTACATATTAGTATTAAAAAGTTTGTTTAATCCTTTCCAAAAATTCAAAGATAAATAGGAAGAGGTCACTCGTTTTATGGTTTAAACAAGTGGCAACTACTGTTATTTTTAAATTTTTCTTTAGACTTCTAAATACATATATATATACACATACAAGCTTTCCAAGTATACTAAAATATGTTTATAGAAGGCTATATTAAGAACAGAACAAAAATCACATCCTATACAAGTTCCACTTGAACATTAAATTTTAGCCATGAATACTTTCAAATTCTTTATAAAAATATGTTCACTTACATCCCAGTTCACTATCCCTGGATATTTAGATAAATTTTCTCGGATTGCTCCACTAAAGCTAGTAATGTATAGCTGTAAAGAAAAAACATCAACAGTATACTGAAAAACATTAGTAGAATATACCTGTATGTACTTATTAATAACAAAAACACTATTAAGCACAAAATCCTGTTCTACAAATTTTCATTCTGAAGGTTGCTCAAAATACCATTTAAAGATTTTACTGGCTTCAAGTAGCTTCACACTTTGTCCTTCACATTCTAACATTGATGTGCTTTTTATTATCATTATTTGTTTGAGGTTCCAAGAAGGAACTTTCATAAAAGGAATCTGCTTAATAGATAAAACATATCAAAATTATACAATGTGGTAAAGCTTTTTTAACCAGCTTACTTTTGCCTTGTTATCAAATAATGCTTTATCTTTTGTATTAAAATCTAGAAAATAAAGTTCATCAAATACCAATAAAAACCGCAAATTAGCTGAACAGTCTCAAACATCAACTGAAATTAAGATAACAGTAATGTGAGTACAAAGAAATTACAAACAAAAAAATTACACCATATAATATGAAACTACTTTTGTTGTGCTACGTATCATTACAACACCAAAAACCATGATCATCAGCAATTATCCCAACTTCACTCAAACACTACTGATTAACTCACCAAACTTATGTAAAAAATATTTTTCAATATTAACTTCAAATAATTCTCATTAAATGACAGGGAATGGATTGTTTACTTTATTTTCTTTTAGACTTTCAGGAAATCCTGAAAATGCTTGTCAAGGCAATATTTTTAAAATAATACTTGAGTTATCATATTTTATAATGCCATGCCAAAAGATACCAGCTGCTAATGTGCTAGAATTATCAGTTAACAAACATAACAATTGATCACTTGGGCCACCTATTATGCTAATATAATATAAATTACTTGTATAATCAATCTATTCAACTTCAAGATAAAGTCCAAAAATACAGTAAAATAGTTAAAATGGTATAGAAAAATAATTATTTGGTTAATACTGAATACTAAAATAATATTTGTTCCTTACAAACATTTTAATTGTTTATTTATATTTTCAGATAAGCCCAAACTGGTAAACCCTGGAAAGAATGATAAAATTTCCACATGAAAAGAATACAAAGCAGAAAGTAACACTTTACTTGAATAAAAGTAAAAGTGAAATGGTGTACTAAAAGAGTAATTCATGTGTCAAGACATATTTATGGGTCACTTGATGGGCATTTACAAAATGTCCAATCAAATGGACAAGTATATACAATCACAAATATACATCTGTTTCGTAAAAAAAAACAAAAAACTTTCAAATATCTTAAATATGAATGTGCTGTACCACACTCAGAAAGCACTTAACAAACTACAAAAAGGTATAAAAAAACTCAAACAGGGAATCATCATGTCTTATGACCCAGCAGAATAAGGTAATGAAAACTCAATATGAGGAAATTACCAAACAAGGTACTATCCACATACAATCAGAATAAAGAACATCCTTTACTATAAGATTTGTTATTCTTGTTGCACAAGAAACTTCCTAGTAACATTAAGTGCCTGAACCCTGTACTTCAGGATGTCAGATCTCTCAGGCAAGACTAAACAAAGTTAAGAAATGAAAAAAAAAAATTGAATTAAAATATATTGTGCACTCTAAGTTTCTAAAGTAAATGTCAAATTGCACAAAGAAACAGATCCAAAATATGAGGAAATAACATAGTGAAAATGCACCAAAGTAGGCTGTAAAATTCCTACATTCCTAGATTTCCACAGGAATATGTAAGTCAGGCTTACTGGTATCAGAAAGAAATTTGTAGAAAAATATAACCCTGAAGAGCTAGTAATATTAAGTCATTTGTCAAATACTTAGAAAAGAAAGAATAAGCATTTTTCTGTCTTTGGAAATTTTGAAATATTGAATAGACTGTTCATTTCCTTTCACTAGTTTGATACAAATATTTATTCTTTTATGTACTGAAAAGAAAAATATATTTTAAAAACTGTGCAAGCATAGAATAGTTCAAAACTATGTGGTAAGCATGTTTCACACATACAATGTAGCAGTTTTCAAATACATTATAAAAAATATTGTGACAAAACCATCTCAAAACAACATACATTTGTTGCTATGTTAAACTTGTAATAGTTTTCTTCATTACACATTCCAGCCATCTCCAACTTCATTACATGCTATATATATATATAGACAAGCCAAAATATAATAATTCAGTCTTTTATCTTCTCACTTTACTGAAATATCGCTATATCTGTTCAACTCGCAATGACACAACCCCTCCTATATCTTCTGTCTTTTAAGACGTGTCTACAATTCTCTTCAACATTGATAATGAACATGTTTTTAACTAACAGAAAGAGCATATTCTAAAATAAATAAATCAGACAATTGTCTGTTTTGTTTTAGTAGTCAAAGTCAATAGTTCATGTGGAAAGCTTGATGTGTTTGGACTAAAGATGTTCTGAATAGTAATGCAATTTTTTTATCCTATTTATAGACTAGTTAGAAAGCCAGGTAAATCATAGTAGCTTTGAAACATTTTGTTCTGGAGCCAAATGTATTTTTTGGGGGTTCTAAGATGCTATAAGAATTATTTTGGGGAACCAATATAATTAAAAAAGAAAATTGGCTTACTAAACCACACACCCAAGTTCAAAAGGCTTTGAGGCTAAAGTAAGTGCAAAATTTCTTGGTTTTTATGCATATTTTCTATTTATTGTTATATAATTTTAACAAAAGCAACTAAAATGTAAAAAGTTAGAAACTTATTAGGCTTGATGAAAATTAAATGAAAAAAAAAATTAAAATTTTTGTGATCTATCTTGGAAGAATGCACACAGGCTGCCATTCTGTGATGTAACGTTATAATTTGTTTATCCTAAGTTATTGCCAGACAATTTTTTGCATCATTATGCTACTTAGACACAAGTTCAAATAACAATAAAGCAGTAAGATTAAATGAAAGCATTTGTGAATAGGTTAAGAGGTCTAAAGCTCTTAGGATAAATACAATCTGCAGTATTTCTAGAAAAATAAAAGTATTTTAGTTATATTTCACATTTTAAATTTTTCATTAATTATACATTGTAAGATGAAAAGAAGCATTTTTACTATTAGCATGAAAATCACCTTTCACTCAGACAGACTAAATAAAGGTTTTAGTAAAAATACTTAATTAAAAAACTGATTGTTTGTGTATGACATACTTGTAATGTTTCCTAAAAGCTTGCAAAATTTTTGAACATACACTTAATACAATCATTGTTATAGTATACAAGTAAAGAAAAACTTTTCAAAAAAGAAGTAAATGTAGGGTTGGTTAATATCAATCCTACAAAAACAATGCAAAAGACAGTATGGATGGCACTTGCATCATCCCTACATAATAGCATAGACACACATAGTATAATTGAATAAATAGAGTTGTTTAAACATTTGTTTAACAACAAGTGAAAGCTTGGAATGGTCTATTCTTTCATTGGGGGGGGGGCATCTGTAAGCCAGACTAGTTTCAGAGAATTCCATTCCTCATCAGTGATCATGGACACTATCACCAATGAAATATCAGACCAAACCAAGCCTTTATAGTAGTGAGGTATCGAAAATCGATATTTAAGTGTTTTACGAAGAATTAAATTGTGGTGAAATGCTAAAAGTTCT